GTCTATTAGAATTCTAGTTGAGATAACTAGAATTCTGATTAATATAATTATTCTGGTAAAAATAAGAATTTTAAAAGATTTTAAAAAAAATATAGTATCAACCAGAATTCCGGTTATCTCAACTAGAATTCTAATAAATTTAACCAGAAATTTCTGATTCGTCCACTTTCAACCAGAAAATTTTTTCAGTGTGTATTTTGCTATACAACATGCTTTACTATTCCTCTACACGTATAATGTATCACGAAATAATCACTAGGTCTTTTATACGCCTTACAGTAATCATTTTATGTAGATTATAATTCATGATGATGCTACTTGTTACACGCATAGTGACCAATCGATTCAACTCACAATAATTTCATTAATATTAACAGTAAAAAGCTAAAATTATAACTCAATACTAATATAACATAAAGGCATATAACAGAGTAGTTGCGAAAAAATTACCCCCGCTCCTTCTATTTTTTCTGACTTCCGCGGCGTAAATCCCAACGCGGCGTATATACCGGAGTTACCCTAGAGAAAATGGAACAGAATAGAATAAAATTGCGAACTATAGTCCTTATGAACAAAATAATGGTCAATACGAGCTGATTAAGAAGAATAAAAATAGATAACAATACATATCTATAATTATCATTTTCAAAAAATTAATAATAAATTAATAAATTAATATGATATGACGTCTATACTGTCTTTCTCAGCATGAATGACAAAAAAGACAGAAACATCAAAATAAAATTATAAATAGATAAAAATATTAACTAAAATTAAATTGATAACTTAATTAATGTAGCGACAGTACATTATAAAAAATATCAGTATGTTCTCTGAAAGTGAATTAGTGACTTCAGAGCTACAATTATAACTGACGTAATCATTAACGAATATTTATGGTTTTTCAGTAATACACCGATTCTCTATCGCTTTTAGAAGTTATGATTTTGTACAGATTGAAATGCATATCAATCTACAAAATATAATCTCTAAAAGCGAATCAGTATATTATTACTGGAAAACAGTAAATATTCGCTGATGATTACATCAGCTATAAATGTAGTACTGAAGTCAGTAATAATATACACATTCACTTTTAGAGAGTGAATTTAACACTATGTGATGTTTATATAATTCTCATCATGTTGTTGTTAATATTAATACCAAAATGATTTGGATTTAACATCATGAATTTTAAATCCACACCATGACAATGTTGATATAAAGACCAAGGTTTGAAATCCACACCATGTTGGTGTTAATATTAATAAATAACACGAACATGGTGGGAATTATATAAACACCGTAGGATATTAAATTCACACCGATAATTTTTAGAGTGGACAATAAATTAAATACTTTTTATGCAAATTAATTCATGGAGTATGAAAAAACGGATATATATATGAGATCAGCTTCAACAGAAAAATAAATATATGGTTCTAACAAACAGAGTTAGATATTTTGTTGTAATTGTTTCTTTCTTAAGTTGTTCTTATTGTTAATTAAAATTCATATCGTACCAATTAATTCAATTGTGAATTATGAGATACCAGAATCGACGTAAAATTTGTAAATCTCATGCAATAACAAATCCGCGATAAAAACTAGTTGTTATTCTCGTATATACCTGACGAAATTATTTCGGTTACTATCAAAATTCGATATTCCTTCAATAATGAGCCGTAATGAGCTACAAAAGATAAAAGCTCTTTTTATCGCTTTTATAGCTTCATCGCCTTATCGCTCAAGTGTGCGTAACGCTTTTAAGATACTTTATCGAAGCGTGGCTTGTGCAAGTACTTTATTCGCAATTCCGCTATCTGCCAAAGGAACGAAGCGATTTCGCGATGTTTTTCTTTTCGGCGATGGCGGCGGGAAGACTAAAATTTCGCGTGTAATTCGCAATTTGCCGGGGAACGAAAAAGAAGGATAATTCAGGCAGAGAGTATGTTTTACGGTAACAGTAACACGACGTGTTAATGTTAGGAAAAAAGCATCTCGCCCGGGGGTGCTCTTTTTGCGACTCCCAGGGATAACGACAGTCGCATGTTGTCGTAAACGTGTTTTATGAGCGGTTGTTCCGGATGTGGGTCGGCTTCTCTCGCGAGAGCGCGTCCCTCGAGAGATCGACGGAAAAACTAGTGTTCTGGAATCAAGAGACCTAACGGTACGTAGGTATTCGCGAGTACGAGTTATCGACACGCTAATTCGCGGATTTCTACGGAATTAACTCGAACCTGCGATCCTGTTTAATTCGCCGGAGTTAAGTCAGGGAAGCCGTCCGGGTTTCCGTTTAATAATATTGGGTTTGGCAGATTGCTCTAAGCCTTGGCAAAGCATGTGTCAGATAGAGTACGCGGAACATTGTATGTATTCCGAGAAGAGATACAGAAGGTTTAGACCTCGCATTGAGTGTATATTTTTTCAAGGGGATCTAATGGCACAAATGTAGCTGTTTTAATTTAAAGTTGCATTTCTTGATAATTTTATTTAGGTACACTGAAAAAAATTTCTGGTTGAAAATGGACGAATCAGAAATTTCTGGTTAAATTTATTAGAATTCTAGTTGAGATAACC